GTCGAAGGCTAACGTTAGAGTTCATGTCGAGTGCTTCTGAGCAGTAGAGATGGCATGTCGATTGTAGAGATACTGAGATACGCCATTTCTGTGAATTCGTTGAGTTTCGAATTGTACAGTGTTTTCTTTTCTTTCGTTTTAAAGTAAAATACGGCTTGGCATCTTATAAGTATGAACATTGGAAATTCAGTATAGACTCTTCAATTTGTGTATTGTGTTTTCTTGAAACGACGACCTTCGCGTAAATAACAGTCTTTAATTTGTATACCCACGATTGGACTTGAAACTTGAAACATGGACGAGTTTATTAATATTTTTATCTTGGAGATATTGGAAAGTGGCGAGCGACTGGCCAATACACGGCGGCAACAGCGCACTTATCCCGTCGTCGGGATAAGTTGGGCACTAGGGTACTTTTTCTCTCCCTGCATATTAAAACGAAAATTATAAAAATGTCCAACAGAATAGCCCAATAATATATAATAACTAGTGAGTGATGATGAACTTATAAAAGTTTTGAAACAACCGCTTACAGATCCAAATTGTGACACTGACAGACAGTCAACTGGAACTGTCCTGTCAAACTGAATATTTTTGCACTAAACGTTCCGTTTTAACTTAAATAATTAGGTTTAGTGAACGTTTTATGACAAAATCATTCATTCACTCACAACTACCTAAAATGGAACGTGCGATTCTGCATAATGGTAACATTATCTTCACTCGACTCGACATTTTCGTGACATTTGTTTCTATTTTGACTGAGAATACGGATTTCTGTGCAATTCGACATTTTTTGGTAGAGATAGAGATATTTTTGATAGACATAGAGATAGACTTACAATGTCGAACTCGAGATAAATGGCGAAAATCGAGAATTGGCCCCCAGAGGAGTCACAGTTACAAAGATTTAAATAATAGATTGCTCAATCCGAGAATTGAATATAACACTTCTAGCTTAGAAAACGCGCTTACAATCATAAAACCAATGCGATTATATTACTTTACGAATTGTTTAAAAAAAACTGTCAAAATGCAAAAAAAAATCAGTTAAAAATTAAAAGTTATAAAAATCTTAGTCATATTATAATATTTTATTTAATAAAAAATCTTTATATTTCTACTGAACTAAGCACCTATGTATAGCACAATATTTTATGTGAAAACTTAAAATTAAATTACAAAAATAATATTTTTAAATTAAACTTTTCATATTCAATATACATCATCTGGACGGATTTGTGTTGATAGTAGATAATATGAAGAAATAATTTTAATTATTTTATAGCTTAAAAAAAATTTCCCCATGTAATAGGGGGTGAGTCTGTTGCCATAGCCCTTCATGTAATTACTGAGAGTTGTTTTTATGAATGATAGATCGGCAAACGAGCAGACGGGTCACCTGATGGTAAGCACCGCGCCGCCCATGGATGGGTGTCCCGCAAGACTAGAGGAGTCACTAGTGCGTGACTTTGGCAAAATTTTGGAATATCATCTAAAAATATTTTGGCTGACTCAGGAATCGGACGTGAGACTTGTTGCTTGAAGTTTGTTAAATACGAAAATAATTAAATTTATCTCTTCACAATGTTTATATGACTCCTGACTTTGTTTACTAGTAAAAATAAATTCATTTGTATATCTTAAATAATAGAGCTACCGTTTGTTTTTACATTATGATATTTTATATAAGTGTTAATGATAGATATAAGCTCAAAATATTTTATACAGTTACGAAATATTGCGATGAAATCATTTTATTTGATGTATTTTTTAAATTGCGATAGATATGTTTCGAACTATTAAAATACTTTGAGCTTTCTACATTTTTGATATTATTAGGAACTAAAGTTCACTAAATAGACATAATATTAATATTAGCTGCATTTATTTAAATCCAAATTCAAAACAAATTAAAAAAATGTATTACGTACGTAAATTAAAATACCGCCATCTAGCGCCCAGAACTAGAAATACAAATTCTATATATGACCACCAGATGGCAATACAAGTAGGTAGTGTTTATAGAAAAGTTTTGCGTTATTTAATAAGAATAAAGAGTTTTGTGCAGTGTTTCAGGCAGTGAGTTATGATAACAATGAATTAGACATTATTTTGACATCGATAATATACTTAAAAGTCTTATACTAAACTTTATATTTTGTACGTACAAAAAATTCTGCAGAGGCAGTATACACAAGCAATGGTTTTATAAATTGGCGACAAAATAGTACAAAACTTCAAAAAATGGTTAAAACTACATAAAGTAGAATGCTATGTTTTCATTTTCGTTCACAGGCACCCTTATTCTAACGGAATAAAGTTCAAAATCAAATATTGAAGTTGTTTCATATTACTTTGCAAATGTTATTTATAGGTACTAAAAATATCGCCAAAATATAAAAAAAATCTAATATACAAAGTAATAATATCATTTTGAAGCACACACGTTTACAAATATCTTAATTTTTAATAATAATAATAATCTTTAAATAGTTTCTGAGATTTCTATAACTCACACAAATTGACTTAAATAGTTTAAGAGCATCAAGATAATATATTCCATTTAAAAGCATAATAGAATACATTTGTCACCACCGCTCTTCCCGTGGGTGTCGTATACCCGACTAAGGGACTACACGTTTGACAGAGACCGTGCAGCAGCGCTCTCTGATAAACCTGGACCTTTTATACTGCGATCTCCAATCCGCCTGCCTGTCTGCGGAGATTATGACAAACCCCTCTTATGTAGAGGAGGCTCATAGTACAGCAGTGGATTGTCACCCACTATTAAAGGTTTTAAAACTCTTTAACTACAAGTCAACTTGACAATTCACACTTAAAATTAAAACTTAAAATACTATATTGAAAGTAACTCTTTGCCTTAATATAAAAATTAAAAAATAAATGTGAAAAAATAAAAAAAAAAAAAAACAAAATAAATACGTCATACAAAGTAGTAATTTGTTTCGGTGGATGATTCCAATACTAAATTAAATAAATATTTTTTTGTTTTATTTTTTTGTTATTGTGATGCCATTTTGAATATAGACAAAAAGGGCGCGAATTTTTATATTTATTTTATCTGTTTGTGATATCGAATTTATGGGATGATATTTATGGATGATACGTAATGAATTGAGTATAATGAATGATAATGATAAGCAAATACTTTTTATGGAATAGGAGGTAAACGAGCCTTCGTATCACCTGATGGTAAGCAATCAGCGCCGCCCATGGACACCCGCAACACCAGAGACATATATGTTGCCGGCCTTTTAAAAAGGAATACGCCCTTTTGTTGACGGTTTGAAGGTGGTATCGGTATGAATGATAACGGATGTTGAATGATATGAAAATGAATTTATTATGATGATCAATGATTTTTTTATGTATTTGATGGGACCACTATCTCGCCTGGTGGTAAGCGATGATCGGTCTACGATGGAGCACGTCGTCCCATAAGCTCTTATCTTATACTATTATAAAAAGCGGAAGTATGTTTTTTTGTTTGTTTGTTTGTTTGACCGCGCTAATCTCCGTAACTACAAGTCTGATTTGAATAATTCTTTTTGTGTTGGATAGCGCATTTATCGAGGATGGCTATAGGCTATAAAACATCACGCTACGACCAATAGGAGCTGAGCAGAGCGTCTGAAACCGCGCGGGAGTAGCTAGTTCTACATATAATTAGATCGACCAGTCCACGATCGCTAGTATTTTGACAATGCAATTATTATGTCGTAGATGATGAATTATATTTATTTCTGCAAATGATTTGCAAGTTAACACTCAGTGTTTATAGGTTTTTATAATAACTATCGTGAGACATACTAAATTAACTAAAAATCACGGGTTACTCACGTGAATATACTGAGTAAAGCTCAATATAATCTCAATACACGACTGCGTTTAATGGTCGCATACAGTAGCTGTATGCAGGTCGCCTCCAGCTTTGCGATGTGTCGTCATTGGGGGAGGACTGTGGGGGGCAATGGACAATACGTGGCTGTATGTATGATGGTGAAAGTAAATTAATGTAATGATGAAAATGAATTATCTAAATGTGTTTTTTAAGTGAGTTAATATAATAAAATATTATTATGGCAATCAGTTGCCTATTTTTTTTAAATCCGCATTTTTTTTTAATAAAATTAACCGGTAAACGAGCAGACGGATCACCTGATGGTAAGCAATCGGCGTCGCCCATGGACACCTGGAACACCAGAGGCGTTACAAGTGCGTTACCGGCCTTTTGAGGATTGTTGGAGATTCAGGGATTTTATAGAGATGATGATTTTGTCATGATTGTGAAATGAATTGTGAAATGAACCTAAAATAAAGAATGATGATAAATGAAATGATTTTATAATATGAATGTATGAAAATGAATGACACTATTTTGTATAAGACCTTTTTTTGTACCTATGTTCGCAAATGAATAAATGATTTATTTGATGATCTATCTATGTATTGTGTCGTCTTCGAGTAAAAAACATGAACATCGCGCCCTTTTTATTTCATTGTTGTGATTGATGAAATTTTATTACAGTAGGTAAAGTTATTTCATGGAACGACATCGTTTTAAGATATTATTGTAAAAATGCATAATTTTACTCTGTCGCGTAGAATTTCGTAATTAAAATACTATCTACGTCTTTTATTTACTTAGAAAATCAATTAAATAAACCTAATATGAAGAAACTTATGGTTCCGATTTACTTAAGGTAATTTTTTGAATCTTATGGTTGGGAAACCAATGTTTTTTTTACAGATAGCAAATAAAAAAGAACTCTTTGAAACATAGGTTATAAAGAAATAACCATAAGTCGAAATAATAACGTCAATATTTTTTTAAAAACCAAAGCTTTTTGTTATTTGAAACCACAAACTTATGACTGGTTAACGTAACCAGTAATAAGTAGTAATTAGTTGGTTATTCTTAGCAGTTGGTTTTTTATCGTGTAAAATAGAAAAATGGTTGGTTATTATGTTATAATCTAGTTGGTTTCTTTGTTATCTTTCGATTGGTCTGTGTATACGATTTCTGCGTACTCCGTGGATGGAGGGGGTGGTTTCTCAGTTGAGGTCTGTTCACCGAGCGCCAGTTCAGCGTATACTACGCCCTTCTTGTCGTCTGAGAGAGGCTGGGGAAGTAAAAAGTAGTTATTTCAGTAGTGAAAGCAAGTAAATTACTGTCTATGTATTCAATTCTATTTGCATTGTAACTTTCGTGAGACATATTAAATATATTATTATGTTTTCGGCTTACTCACGTAATAATTTGACGAGGAACTTATGACTTTTTAAAAAGAAGTCTACTTTATACATAATTATACTATGTTCGATTCCCGGGTCGGGCAAAGTATTACTAGGTTTAAAAAAATCTCAGTGGTAGCACAGCGTCTGGAATTGTGCTCGGTATATGGCAATAGGCGCACCCCCTATTACATGGGACTCGTAACTTAAATAGTGAAAAGTGGGTGTTACATTGTACAGTGGCATTAAGTGCCGTAATGTACAACCCCTTCGGGGATAAAAAGCGTGATGTTATGTTATGTAAAGTATAATTATGTAAACCAACCTTTTCTTCAGCATCAACAGTCTGCGCCTCAGTAGCCTGCACCTTATCCTTGGCCCTCGGGAGGACTGCCCTCACTCGAGCACTCAGGCCAGCCAGCCGCGACCTCTCCCGCCCTCCCACAGCACTCTCAGTGTCGCTACTAACGAAACAACAATGTTTAATGGTTGTCAACAACCATACGTTTTATGGTTATAAATGATTGGTTATTATTGATGCCTTCAAAAGTTGTGGTTTTACTTATGTGTGGTTTTCTAGTGGTTTTTGTGTAAAAGGTATTTTTTTTATTAGTGGAAGTATTTATTAAAGCTGTTTGGTTTCCACAAGGGGTTGTTTTAAACTGTCAAACACCAAGCGGTCACCGGTGACCGCGACCTATTGTTCTTTAATTGTGTCTATAAAACCGGTACTCGACGAGTTAATAAAATTATTTTTATTTGCTACATTATAACCTCACTCTAGTTATGATTACAAAAAGTAATGATTGCTATTAATTTATTTCAGATTCAGATTAAATAATCATTAATAGAGATTAAGAAATAATATATATTAGTAAAAATACTAATGACAATTAAACCAGCAACCTATATATAATTTTTATACAATAAAATAATAACGAAAATACCTCACCATATAAACATTATTAAAACAAATACCCAACCCAGTCCAATACAAAATAGGCGTTAACACAGCAATAATAATAATGACAAAATGCGTTAAAAGCTAAAACCGTTTGTTGTTTTATAACACACATCGTGAAATTTAGTTCGTTTTCATCCCGCGGCAAACGAATTTGTTGTAAGGACTACTTTCGATGTATAAAGTTTAAATAAAAAAACAAGGATTTAATTTTCCCCTATTAACCCTTTGAGTACCGTCATTATAGACACAATTAAAGAACGGTGTTTGACAGTTAAAAATTAATGATAATACGCACATGAAACACTAGACGTAAATGTGTAGGCACTATTCGCATCGCACGTGCCGCCCGACGAGAAATACATCTTCGAGGTACATGGCGTGATGTTTTGATAATGTACTTTGAGTTCGTATGCGCTTTCGCAGCTTGCTGTTTGCAATGGTTCACTAATTATTTTTTGTTCTAACCTTTTTGTATTTGTTTGTAAAACTATTGTATTACCAAGACAGAACAATTTTACTTCGGGACGAAAAAGTAAATAGACAACAAAAAAATTACACCAATTTTTTTTTGTTTTGACTTTATAAAGTCAAAGTCAGTCAAAATAATTTATTTCAATTAGACCAGAAAGGCACTTTTGAACGTCAACAAAAAAAACTTATACATCAAAAGTACTCCTTATGGCGTGTTGTTTTGCCGCGGGATGAAAACGTAATAGATTTCACGTTATATATACAGCTGTAGCTGCATATACAGATTAATATATAATTATATATATACAGTAAATAATACACACACCCGCAACCAATGTACTACTTTGAATATAAAAAGCTAAAATGTGTTACTAATGAGAAAAAATACAGCATCTACTATTGTACAAACGATCTACTTCAACCCAAAATGAAAGCTGCTATAAGTATTGGATGTAAGGACTTTAAACGCTAGTGGCTCCCTCTAGGAAACGCAAAAATTATACATGTCAACATTAAGTAGAAAGTAGGTAACTTTAACTTTGCCTTGTATTTCATAAAAAAACATTTATATTTATTACTGGCTTCTGTCCGCGACTTCGTACGCGCTATCCCGTTTTTTTCAAGCTCCCCGTTCGCGATTTTCGAACAAAAGTACAAAAGATATTCTATGTCCATCTCCCGGTTTTAATTTTAAGGTACCTCTTCGCCAATTTTCAACCAAATCGATGTAGCCGTTCTTGAGTTTATACATAGTGTAACTAACACGACTTTCTTTTATATATAGATTAAAGTATTTGTGAAATTAGTTTAACATGAATTTTATTTTTCATAGTTCATTTTGGGTTGAAGTGTTTTACTAGGAATAGTGTTTATTGATGTAAAGCGAAGCTATTTCCAATTATTGTTAGACGTACGTTCTAGGAAGCGGGTTGCCAGACTCTAAAAGCACATCCCCGGCCGGCGTCCTTGCGGGAAAAAATATTTTTGTATATGGCAACAATTTTGAAAAAATATTTTTTGTGTTTGAAATCAGTCTATCGAAACAATATTTTTAGGTTTAAAGTAACCCAGAAATTTTGTTTCGCTGTAGAAACAAATTAAGGACTTTTTTTCATTTTATATTAGGTATACAATAATTCAAAAAAAATTACAAAAGTTAGCACAGTTAAAAGAAATCCAAATTTTAAGAAAGATATACTACAAAATACAAATATTTATAAAAAAAAGACTTTATTTACACAAAATAGGAAATATATAAACACAATGTATACATATAATTAGTGAATATATAAAATAAATAAACACTTACGATTCGCCGGAACTTTTCCTCTCCTGTCTTCTACCTGTAATTGTAACATTTTATAAAAGCCTTTGTAAATCGTATCCAAAACCGATCATTAGCATCGGTCGAGCATGGATGGCATGGTGGCCACCCATGCTCGTCGTCCGCAGGCCCGCGCTTACGGTGACCGGAGATCGCCCCGCGATCCCCGACGCCCGGTGTGTCCTTCGCGATGGCACAGTTTTATGGATCAAGTGGCCATTTTTGCAGTGTACTTTTTTGTTTACAAATTTATTTAGTAGCGTGCAAGCACGTAGTGACGCCTAGGTGACACGATTGGTACTACTTGACGGGAATGTGCATTGCAGTGATCAGTTCACTGGAAAATTTTATTACGCTTTTCGTGAACTGACACTCCATCTAGGCATTATATGTATAATTAAAGGCTAACTAACAATTTGACATGTATTGTAAGTAATTTTAAGGATTATTGATTGGCAATAAATATATGTATACCTACAGGCAAGCGAAATTTATTCCTTTTACCACCTTATTCCTTAATTCACTCGTCAGTTGTTGGTCGTGTGTTCCATACACAAACAAGAGAGCCCAGAATTAATACTAGATAAGTAGATTAATCATATCGTGGCACCGCATAAGAAGAATCAGAATTTGATAAAATATTTCTCTGATTTTTTTGATTATAATTTTGTATCTTCATTAGGTACGTCAAATTAGCTATGTACAATCATAGATCAAAAGTACACTGCCACCGTGAGTGATGTTCACACGGTAATGCGTAAGTAATTTCATATTAATGTGCATAAAAACGCGTGCGTACGCATAAACACACGCACGCGTACGCACCCGGATACAATATGCGTGTGCATGTGTGTATAAGTGCTGCAGCGCAACCGATATTAGTCTTACGGTGGCAGTGGACTTTTGACCTTTCACTGTACATACTTTTGTGGGTACTCTTTTTATAAGTCTTAATGCAATAAAAATGAGAAATATAATGTTACTAAAGCCTTTAACTGCCGACAAGTACTGTTAAAGGCCAATCCTCCGCTAGCGTCTGACACCATCGTGACACGGCATGACACGGCATCCAATGAGTTAATTAGTAGTTTGTCTAACATTAAGAGGTTTCAATGCTAAAAATCATAACAAATTTTTGACTGTAGTAGCAACTGGTTAAGAAATTAAATTAAAAATGAAACATCAAAATTCTTATTTAATAAATACTTTATATTTCAATAATATTTAGTCATAACCGTTTACTTATAGACATTGATTGATATTTATTTAGTGACAATACAAAATTATTGAATCCCATAAAAAATCAACATACGACATTACAAGAAATACATGATAAAACTTTCGTACTGAAAAATGCCTAAATTTTATTAAGTAAAGGCATTTTAGGGATTTTATTTTAGTAAAAAATGATTTTTTAATTTCCTCATTCTGTCGTATGTAGTTTTAGTAAAAAATTCGGCTGACATTCGAAAAAATAGAAGCTTAAACATAATTTGAGCTTACAGATTGAAAAGACGCAATATTTTGGCAAATATGTGCAAAATGGCAGTGTCTTTAGTTCGTTATAACTATTCGACCTTAATCTGTTAAAACTGCTAATTAAAAATACATTAAGAACTAAATTGGTACAAAAATAATTTCTTAACTAACAATTTTTAATTACAAATACTTAAAAATCACAATCGTGGTGACTTATTGAACTAAATATTACAAAATAGAAAAGAATAATATTCAATATTGTATCAAATTGTACAATTTTCTTAAGATTGCATTTTAAACGTGAATTGTTAAGTATTATGAGATTTGTAAATGTACCAGCGTAAAGTAGAGCTGGTAAAATTGTTATTTAACTTATTAGTAAGTAATTACTTGAATACTACATAATATATACACAATATTAATGGTGGTACGAACACATTTTTAACTTAAATATAAAGGTAAAATAACCAGTTATTCGCCACAAGCAGAATCATGGTCAAATATTGGTATTTTACCTTACTTAAAACTAAATGAAATCATTCGAAAATTTAATAAAAACCTATTAAAAAAACGAAAATGTTTTGTAACATATTACTTAAGTAATTTAAGATTAAATAAGTCTCGATTTAAAAGAGATTTTTCCGAAAAAATATATGATGCTCCGAACATTGGTCGTCGTTTTGTTCCTATTTTTGTTTTTATATTTAATAAAAATGCCTTAAATTTACGCGTTGGGATTTCGTTGTTACACAATAATTTGTATAATATTTCGAAAGGATTATTATTTTACATCGTTTACGAGATTCTTAGGCGAACATGTATAACCTATAAACACCTTAAAAATGTAACAATCGCAGACGAGAAAAAAAATCGATACCCTTTAAAAAAAATATAAATGTCAAATATTTATTAAGCAAGCGTTTTGAAATTACAATTGAGAATGTCAAATAAAGCATTTTCTTCTCGTGTGCAAAGTTTAATACTCTGTAATATCGAAAAGTTTGTTAAGGTTTACACGTAAATATGTTTTTCCTCAAATTACAAATGTGCTAATCTAAATTTTCAGTAACCCATTTAGAAGTCGCTGGCATATATATATATCAGTTAATATTTTCAAAAAACAGTCAAAAATATCTCGGAATGTTCGGCAAGTCTTTACGTCACGTATATGTTATAGTGTCATACTTTAAAATTATATTACTAGAAGTCAGTACACATATTCTATGTCAAGGGACTTCTAAACGGGTTGACTTCTTTATCTAATATAATAATTTCTTTCAAAATTTCCTTAATATTTTAGAATTTTTATTATTAAAAATTGCATACATTTTTTATTTTTAAATACAATATTTATTAATAAGTAACAATTTTTAAACACGCGTGGCACTGACGTCACTGATAAAACCATAAGTCCAAATAACGTAACTGTCACTTAAACAATTGAATTATCGTGAATTTAATCGGTGAAACTCGAAAAAATTAAAATATAAAGAAAAAAAATTCTAAACATTTTTAGGGACATTTAATATTTTTCCAATTTTTTTACTGGTAAATGTCAAAAATAAAAAAAAACTAGTAAAGTTTTCTATGGTTTCCTCTAGATATCTATAAAAATATCTACGAAACACATGATTTAAACAAAATAGCGAGAAAAACAACAAAATTTGGCAAGACAATGACTTTATACAACAAAAAAAAAATACAGTAACCACTTACGATCAGGCCAGGCCGGGCCAGTTTTATTAAAAAAAAATTAAGTTTCGTTATAATCTTTCCAAAAAAAAAAACTTAAATAAAATTCCGAGTTTCACCGCGTGACAGATACCTGACTTACGCTTAAACGGCCGTGTCCGGCTTTTTTTCCGGATGCTTGGTATCGCCATTGCTGATATAGTCACCGTGGTCGTGAGAGGGGTTTTCAGAGCCTTTGATGTCATCATGAGACGGTAGAGGGGCCTCCGAATCAGCCCCATCAGGAATGTCAGTGCGATGCGACCGTCCTGCCGTACAATACATTAAGCGATCAAGAAACTGAATCTTTTTAATTAAAAAAGCCGTGTATGTGCAGTGCTTCGGACAAACATTCGTGTGTGTGATTTGTGAGTGATTTCTTGGGCCTTTAACTTGTTTTTTTGGTTTGTTATTGATGTGATATGGTTTTTGAGACGTAGACATAATTATGATGTTCATTCATAAGTGTCTAGTTTTATATAATGTTTTGTTTCTAGGTCGGAGGCAACACAATAAGTGTCCTATGTTTTTGAAAAATGTCTCAACGATGAAAAATAATAATCGAAATAGTTCTGTCTATCTTTTAGAAGAACAACAGACGATATATGTATATTGGACATTATACAGATGATATCAAATTATCTCAAATCTATGTTATTCTTAAAAGAAATTGATAATAACAAATTTGAATTCTTAGGTTTTTTAAGGGAGGAATTATCATCGAATGACTGCTCCCGCCTGGGCGAGGCGGGAGGGAGTGTCAGACTCTTACTGACAAAAACCACCCCGTTCATTCTCCAGCACTTCGAGCCTTAGCCCCGGTAACCCGTTAGGTTCTCCGCGACAATTCTTAGGCATAAACGTGTAAAAAGAATGAAGTTTTATTGAATGCTATTACTTCAAATCCTTGAAGATTTTATATCTCGTTTCGGTAATAATAATGCGCATGTTTAAAGCAAACAGCTTTGTAATACATACGAACAATTTGCTGATTGAAAGTGTTTATTACCAAAGCCATAATTAAAATTGAAAATCAATTAAATGACTTCTAGTAAGAGAAACGAAAGCCCATTTTTTTTATTTGTTCTATGAAAATGAATTAATGTTAAATAATGTTATGATTATGATGACCATTGAAAAAACACCAAAAAAAATTCACAAGTAAAACCAATTAAAACCTGTTAGTCGTTAGAAAAACAAATATGTATTTAAAATGTCATAAAACTTTATTCCCTAGATACCAAAATAAGCTCAAGGCCCAAAAAACTACAATAAGTGAGAACACGTGTTATTTTTTTAAACCACCACCTCGAAATTCGCCACCTAGGTGAAATATAAAGAAAAAAAAAGAAAATCTAATTTCAACTTCATGCAAAAGAACATTCTCAGGATTTTTTAAGAAAAGAGTCATGCTTTTTTTAAAAAGAAATATTATCACAAATCATTCACATGCGTTCAAAAAGTTATTGTATATAATGTTTTATTAAACACAAAAAAAAAAAAAAAAAAAAAACACATGCATTTTTCAAAGATTTTTTTCGTTCTTGATCGCTCAAAATATTGATTATACTTTTCGCTTAATATAATATAACAACTTATATAATCTACACAAAAAGCGGATATATTGCCAAATTTTGCATCATTCATTTCGAAAAATTTTCTATTAGGTACTATAGCAGCCAAACCTTTTTAAGTACTAAAAAATGAAAAAAAAATAAGATTTTAGTCAAAAATATATATCTATTAATTCATTTCTCAACCAGTGCTAGCCGAAAACAGTTAGTGGAAAACGTGATTTTTTCTATTTTTTTTTTATTTTTCTAATTTTTTTTCAACTTTACCTATCGACCAACAGCACGTGAGCCTGCCAGAAAATTGCTTATTAATAATAATAATTATTAAATAGTTCATAAAACACAGGAAAAAGGAGTAAATTACGCATGCCTATAGTTGTAATAAAAGCGATTGTAAAGCATGGACAAAAATCACAATGCATAGGAAATATTAATAAAAAAACTTTATTTTTTTGTACAACCAGTATATCTTGATCTCTCTTAAGGTTCTGGAAATTAATAACCGATTATTCGATCTGTGTTTTTGACAGAAATTCTATAGAATTAATATCAAAGATCTGAGTTCAAAGATGTTCAATGAATTTTAGCTATTAATGACTAAGTAATCACTAAAAACCGATAACGAGCGAATAAGACGATGAACCTCAGACAGGTCAACTTATACTAGTTGAAAATTTTATCCCATTTTATTAATATTTCGTGTTGTCTGTAACGTAGTGATGACGTTTATGTTATAATTGTAGGCTCCTGTACTATGTCGTTTAAAAAACTGTATTTTGCAACCGATAAAACTGAATCGTCAACATGAATGGAGCAAATTGTGTTATTAGTTAGTTTAAAATTATATTTGTAAAAAACAATTTGTATATAAAAGAAAAAAAATGTTGACATTCATGAATTTAGATCAATAAGAATCATATGCATGAAAGAAAAATTCAATTAATAATCATGCTATAATAATAAATACATGCAAATTAAGAAAAAAACGATATTCTTTCCATATCAAAGATATTATTTTGACGTAGAGATGGATATTTTTTTCGAATAGATACTCAAAATGGATTTAAGTTGAGAATTTATCCGTTTGTGCTCAAAAAAGCGGATAAACAATTAAAGTCTCAAATAAAGTTGCAATATTTACTCAATATCTTATTATGTTTTCGACTTACTCACGTAATTATTTCACAAGGAACTCGACTAGTTTCAAGCCATGCTAGAGGTTCATATTCATGAGCAGCATTTCGCGACCTGCGACGCGGTGATAGTCGCATAACTCGCATATGAATATGGGCCTCTAGCATGGCTTGAAACTAGTCGAGTTCCTCGTCAAATTATTACGTGAGTAAGTCGAAAACATAATAATTTATTTAGTATGTCTCACGAAAGTTATAATACAAATTTTGAGTTATTTATTCGAAAAATCGCTCATCTCTATTTTATGATTGCTCCAATTAATATCAACAATTCACAATAAAATATAAAAGAAAAAATGCGACTTACCGGCAAAGCACCATCTGTCGGTGGCGAACGCAAACACAGCCAGGAAGATGGCTATGAGAAGAATTAGAACAGCCACCACGATGCCCACGATAGCTCCCGTGTCTAATTCCACACCTAGGATATAAAAATATATGTTCAAATAAAATATAAATATATGTTAAAGACCCTGAGCATTGAAATTGATGATTGATGAACATTGTAAAATAAAAACATCATGAACTATATCTAAAAGAAAATTCCCAAGTAAATATATAAGATATATTATTGAGGATTTTCAAAATAAACCACAAATTGTTTCTCTGAAAATACAAAGTTATTGTTTTAATTAATAAACCTTTACAATATTGCAACTTATCATTTAACTATGACAATTATTCTTAATTCTCACCTGAAAATACAAAGAAACGACATTTAAAGTTTACTATCGCCTCCTCGTTTATAATTTTTAATATTAAATTCTCTTCTAGAAAACTACCAAGCTTTTTTAAATTTGTTATAATGGTTTCCACAGATAACCTATAAAATTACGAACAAGCGCGAAGCGCGGCAAATTCAAATTAATGAAATGTCATTTCATTACAAATATATGAAAAGTTTACATAAAAATGTGAAAGATGGAAGATAATATTTATCATGTAAGTAGTAGAAATACAGAAAACAGTAAAGCCAAAAAAAAACAATGAGATTTTTTCAAACCCATTTAGTCACAGATAGGATAAAATCATAGAAAACAAAGAAAATATTATTTGGAAATATACCCATAAAATATTTACGGTAGTTTCAACTTAAGTCCTGTATAAAAAATATAATAATAGGTATAAGACATCGGAAAAAAATTGACTTAGGTATCTCTTATATAAATATAATTCTTCTGTGAGTGTGTATGTCACTGAACTTCTCTCAAACGAATGGACCGATTTTGATGAAATTTTTTGTGTGTGTTCAAGAGGATCTGGGAATGGTTTAGATTCACAAATCAGCCCGGCAGATGGCACTGCAGTAGGTGTTTAGGTTATTTATCCTAAACAGCTGAAGTAATTTGAATGAATTTTTGTTTATACATTCAAGTGGATATGCAGGACAACGTCTGTCGGGTCCGCTAGTTTCTATATAAAGAAATCAACTGCAACTAAGTAGCATTCGTAAATTTAAAAAAAAACATTCTGATGATAATATTAAATAACAATTTAAACATTTATTTCTAAATTCCAATACTATAATCGCTAATCACATTCATTTATTATATTTATAAGAATTTTCATGCAATATGGAATTACTCATTAATCGAATGAAAAAAATCCAAAAAAACAATTCAAAAGTAATTTTCATGCTAGATAATCATGCCTCATTTAACAAAAATAATCCCGAAGAAAAATAGAGGTAATTGACACATTTTCTTGCAGAAATTAAAAAAAGATATCAGACTCATGCTTCTACATACATAACATCACGCCTTTTATCCCTGAAGGGGTAGGCAGAGGTGTACATTATGCCACTGTACAATGTAACACCCACTTTTCACTATTTATGTTATGAGTCCCATGTAATAGGGGGTGAGTCTATTGCCATATACCGGGCACAATTCCAGAATCCGTGTTATTACTGAGAATTTTTTTAAAACCCAGTAATACTTTGCTCGACCCGGGAATCGAACCCGAGACCCCTTGCCCAGCAGTCGCACTTGCGACCACTCGGTCAACGAGGCAGTTCATGCTTCTAACAGACAAAAACTCGAAATAAAATAGAAAAAGAAGAGATCCAAAGAGAGAAATAGAAAAATCAAGATTACATTTAGAAACACCCGTTATTATTCAATCAAAACCAAAAAAAATCGACAAATATACAATACATACATCGTTTTTCAAAACTACTTTCAATCTCCTACACTCTATTTTAACATTTGAATTTTACAATTAGTTTTCGAAAACAGTGACCAATGGAATCAAAATAAAAACTATACATAACAGAAACTATGGTACACAATGACCTATATGACATTACTAGCTACTTCTGCGCGGTTTCACACGCTCAGCTCAGCTCCTATTGGTCGTAGCGTGATGTTTTATAGCCTATAACCATCCTCGATAACTGCACTATCTAACACAAAAAGAATTATTGAAATCAGACTTGTAGTTACGGAGATTAGCGCGTTCAAACAAACAAACAAACAAAAAAAAACAAACTCTTCCGCTTTATATAATAGGTATAAGATGATAATTATAATCCAAGATTATAATGTACTATGTCCATAAATGTAGGCAGTGAAATACGTAAAATTATAACTACTTTTCACTATAACATAACATCATGCCTTTTATCCCTGTAGGGGTAGGCAGAGGTGCACACTACGACACTTAATGTAATGAGTCCATGTTGTAGGGGGTGAGCCTATTGCCATATACCGGCTCAATTATTGTTTCCCAGTTATTATAATATTATTATTTTATTCATAGATAAAGCATCTGATTGTTTATGTCCACTGCTGGACAAAGGTTTTTTCACTCGTCAATAACCCAGCCACTAACCATAATCTTCAAGCTATCTATAGAATTTTGCCATAAGGTACAATTTTAGATTTTATGATTATCAATTTTGAAATCCAAAATGACCCGGAAATCAAACCCAAACCTGCTCCTAGCTCAAATCAATGTATACCTCTATATCAGCTTATTTCGCATAAACTATATATTTTTTAACATTGATCACTTTTTCAAAAACTCTTTTAAATAAAAAATATTATATTACAAAAAACAACATTCCACTATGATATCGTTCATATATATCATTCGCTGTATATTCGATGTATCTTACCATATATATCTAATACCAAATAGGAGGACTTCGCCTTCCGAGCTGTAGGGAACATAAAACGAGTCAATATCTTAAAATATATTTCTACAAATATGTATAATTATATGTACGACTCAAAATAATTAATTTTGTGCAAAATTCTGCCAATAAATAAAAGAATATTATTATTAAGTATGACATCCTCTTCTCCCCAACCAATTATCATAATTTATTTTCCTAAAATCAGCAAACAACTATAAAATTATCGCAATTTTCCTCTTAATCGCTAATACTGAAGACGCTAATTTTAATAATAGACCAATCCTCGTTTTCCGAACCCCTTCCTTTATCCTTAAAACCCACTAAACACTTTTATATACCCCCAATTGTACTCCAAACGCCTATAAAACTGGACTATCAGTCCCTGTCAGCCCCATTTCCCCCAACAACTTACTAAGACGTCTATCCTCATCTTGCCAAGTACTCAATCCCTTTTTTAATCAACTTTATTTCCAAAAACCAGCTAAATACTTTAAAATACTCCCCATATACCTACTCCAATTTGTGGACTTTCTAGTCCCCTATAATCTTCGAAACTGGAGCCCATTTTTATCCCCTGACCTTAAAAACTCTTCTTATACTGCGGACTATCTGTCCCCAATAGGGTAGATGACTTTCATATTTAAATGTCCGTCTGGTAGATTATTTTAAAACATTAAACAAGTATTTTTTATTTTCTTACGAATACTTTCAACGACATATAGACGTGAAATATCGAGGGACGTCACTTCTATGTACGTTTTATACGTAGAAATGACTTTTTAGCCCTTACTCCTAAACTTTGATTCGTTTTATCTGAGTATTGTTTTCTTATACGACAAAATAAAAAAATACGTGTCTAATATTTTTTCATTACCTAACTGACGGATTAAATAGAGTCTTAATTTTTATACTCCGTCATCATCCCTCCGCGTCCTCTAATTCTGGTTCCCTGATTAACTTACCAGCTGGTTCGTCCATGGTGCTGATCCTGACTGCAATCTCCTCCCTTCCAAAGTCGTTCATGACTCGTAGGAAGTACGTCCTGTCTACATCTTCCTTAGTGATGCGAGCCAGGATCAGAGTGATGTTGAAGTAGCCGTTGCCCTGGAGAAAGAATATAATTGAGTGTGATTCTGTGTTTTGATATGAGATGAAGACTATAGTCATTAGTATCAGTCAGTATAGACAGTAGTTTCTGACAAGTTGTCTTTATTTTGGAAATGTCAAAAATTATAAATGAAATAAAATGATGATTATTTAAAATATAACTTTCAAGTAATCAAGTACTTAATTATTATTTTTTTTTTTTTTTTGATTTTATTGTCCTGCAATCTGTCTCTAACGAACATTCAGCACATGGTCAAGAGTTTAATTTAATTTGTCTTGTAGGGTCACCAGTCCAGCGACGTGGGCCCTTTAGAATTCATCCCTTACAGGTCTCTAGGGGCCTTTCGTTTTAGCCTTTTGAATGTGGAGTTCATATTCATTAAGTGCATTGCTAGAGTGTTTGGGTGGTTGTTGAGCCTTTTTCTGTAGGATATCATAGACTGTTTTATCTCTTCTTGAACCGTTCTGATTTTAAGGTCATGGTGTAATTGTTGGTTAGTTATAAACCAAGGAGCATTAGTAATTATCCTCAGCATTTTGGACTGGAACCTCTGGAGTATTTCTATATTAGAATTTGAGGCAGTGCCCCAGAGTTGGATTCCGTAGGTCCAGATCGGTTTTAGGATACTCTTGTATAACAGTAGTTTGTTTTCGAGTGATAGCTGCGATTTTCCGCTGAGCATCCAATACATTTTCCTCAGTTGGATTCCAGTGCTTTTCTTTTAGTAAAAATATGCTTTTTCCAGGTGAGGCTACGATCCAAATACAGTCCAAGGTATTTGGTTTCATTTGCTTGAGGTATTTGTTGCCTATTCAGCGTTACTGGGGGACATGTTCCACGTCGCATCGTAAATGTCACCTGTACTGACTTTGTCTCATTCGCCTTTATACGCCAAGTATTGAGCCATTCCGTGATGTTGTCCAGGGAGAGTTGTAGCATGTTACTTGCTTGTTTTGGTTCGTCATGGGTAGTTAAGGCTGCAGTGTCGTCAGCAAAAGTGCCAATCACAACTCCATTTGTCATAGGCAGGTCTGAAGTATTAGGTACAGTATCGGACCAAGTACGCTCCCCTGTGGCACTCCTGCGTGCGCCCTATAAAGTTTGGATGTGTCCTCTCCTTGTTTAACATAAAAGTATCTTTCAGCAAGGTATGACTTTAAGAAGACATAAAAGTTTGTAGGCAGTAGTTTTTTTATTTTATATAAGAGACCTTCATGCCAGACTCTGTCAAAGGCTTGGGAGATGTCCAAGAAGGCTGCACAACAGTATTTCTTATTTTCAAAGGCTCTGTGTATTTCTTCTACCAGTCTATGTACCTGCTCGATCGTGCTGTGACGTTTTCGGAAACCAAATTGGTGATGAAACCCTTAATGAGCCCTATCAACTTGACCTGCCAATAGATAGAATAAAGACAAGCGAGGTTATGGACACAATTAAAAATCTACCTCAAAATAAAGCCCCTGGATATGACTTGATCACTACCAAAATCCTGCGGGAATTACCAAAAGTGGCAGTCCAATTTTTGAGGAACCTGTTCAATTGCATTCTGATCAGGGGAATCTTTCCATCCCAATGGAAGGTTGCACAAATTAAAATGATCCCTAAACTTGGTAAATCTCCTGCGGACGTGTCGTCCTACAGACCGATAAGTCTACTGCCCATCCTTTCAAAGGTTATGGAGGTACTCTTTTTGAAACGCTTGAACAAAGTAATAGCAGAAAATAAAATCATACCCGACTTAATTATTTGATATAGTTTTTATTGATTATCGTACGTTTTGATTATACAGAGTGGACGTGGAATTTTGTAATGCAACCTGAAGGGAAAGTACCTACTCTTAATACTTAAGAAACCATTCCCTTAATTCTAAAAAGAAACAAAACTACATTCAGAGATATTTAAAAAATTAGCTTGCCTCACATGGTGTTCGAACTGACTAAAATCTGTCAAAGTTTGCCCCCTGTACTTTTATAGTATCGATCGTTCATTGTTTTCCTTTCATTAAATTTATGAAGTTTGTTAGAGAGATTTCATCCTTATTCACCCTAACAATCGATACAATAAATGTACAGGTGCAACTTTTACATATTTTTTTTTTACCGGGGGAAAATCATCGAATGACTGCTCCCGCCTGGGTGCGGCGGGAGGGAGTGTCAGACTCTTACTGACTAAAAACCACCCCGTTCATTCTCCTGCACGTCGAGCCGGAGCCCCGGTAACCCGTTAGGTTCTCCGCGACACTTTTACATATTTAAGTCGGTTCGATTACCGTGTGCGGAGAGCGAATTTTAAAAATATTTGAATGGAGTTGTGAATTGAAAAAATAAAGGAATGTTTTCTTTGGGTTTTTTTTTAAACGTTGCCCCACACTAGGATTATTTCCTGTGTCGTGGGCGTGAATTTCACATACACATGACACCCAGACCCGAAACAACAATTTGTGGATCACACAAAGTGCGGAGTTCCGTGCGGGAATCGAACCCGCGTCACGCTGCACGGCAGCCGGTTGCCCAGCCACCGCATCAATCGTGCAGTCAATTTCTTAAGTATTAAGACTATTTCCCCTTCAGGTGGCATTTCAAAATTTCATCCTGTATTTTTTTATATACTTTATACGTATAATCAAAAAGATATAAGATTCTAATACAATATCACTTACCAAAAACAAGGGAGCCTGTGCGATAATCTCTCCATTCTCACTCTGCCTAGGTGCCTGCAAGACCTGGTCTCCGATGCTCCACTCAGCCGTCGGTGGAGGATTGGCCTTCACAGTCACATTCAGCTTACCTTCAGCTCCCAGTTTGAGGCCAAAGATTGTGACTGTGCCCGTCTCTTGGCGTTTTGGAGCGTCTAAAATAGGAGTAGAATGGGATTATGATTACATTAAAAAATAAAAAAATAAAAATCGTTTATTAAACACAAAACACACATTGACGGGTATACGACATCCACAGAAAAAGATGAGGTGGTGACAAGTATATCATCATTATTGAATTATACCACATAACATAACGCCTTTTACCCCCGAAGGGTTAAGCAAAGGTGTACATTATGCCACTGTACAATGTAACACCCACTTTTCACTATTTATGTTATGGGTCCCATGTAATAGGGGGTGAGCCTATTGCCATATACCGGGCACAATTTCAGACTCCGTGCTACTACTGAGAATTTTTAAAAACCCAGTATTACTTTGCCCGGCCCGGGGATCGAACCCGAGACCGGCAGTCGCATTAAACATTCGGCTATATCTACATAGTTGTTCCAGTGACAATAATATCATCTGTTTCATTTCATTGCGGGAACCAAGACAGTTGTCCATGTCCCTGGGACGTTGGACTTCAGTGTTCCGGTGTTTGCATGGTTGTATCTACTGGAGATCCTGGCTTACATGAATTGGAGCGGTTTAGAGAGAATTTCTACTTACAATTAACATTGAGTTGGATCCTGAATTCCTTAGGCTTCTCCAAAGCTTCGTGTTCAGCTCTGCAGACCAGGAACTTGGCGTCGTCCTCATCAGTTAGGGTCCTGGTGACATTCTGACTGATAGTCTTCAGGTCAGATCCTGGTTCTGATGTTATGACAGGCTGATGGGTGCCGTGGAGGAGTTCTTCCGATCCTGATAACGATATATACATAAAAATTACGTTTTAAATTAAACAGTTCCAATGAGTTCTATTCTACGAATTAAGCCCTTTCGTTTGATATCCATAATGGAGGTAGTTGTGGAAACAATTAGATTGTATTGTACTAGCTTTTACCCGCGGCTTCGTTCGCGTCACAAAAGGATAAAAAGTAGCCTATGTGACATATACCAATACACACAGCGCCATCTATACCAATACATTTGTTTTCCCTCGGGAATATCAAATTTTTCCGGGATAAAAAGTACCCTATTATTTAATCCGGACATTTAACTTTACGTCTGTAAGAATTCAAAGCAATCGGTTTAGTAGTTACGGCGTGAAAGCGGAACAAACAAACAAACTCACTTTCGGATTTATAATATTAGTAAGGATGGTCATCAAGATTAAGAGTGTGTACCAAATATCAGATCGATCTGTCGTCAGGAAGGGGGTGACATTCTAGTTACTAAAGACCCAAACAATCAAACGGGGCAAGCTAAATAAAACCGTATAAAAATAAACGATATGAAATCACGCCTCTTATCTCCGAAGTGGTAGGCACTTAATGCCACTGTACAACGTAACACCCACTTTTCACTACTTCTGTTATGAGTCCCATGTAATAGGGGGTGAGCCTATTGCCATGTACCGGGCACAATTGCAGACTCCGTGCTACTACTTAGATCTTTTTTTAAAAAGTTCAGTAATACTTTTGCCGATCCGGGAATCGATCCCGAGACCCTTTATCCGGCAGTCGCACTTGCGACCACTCGGCCAATGAGGCAGTCAGTCGAGGCATTTAAAAATAAATTACATGGGACTCATAACATAAATAGTGAAAAGTGGGTGTTACATTGTACAGTGGCATAATGTGCACCTCTGCCTACCCCTTCGGGGATAAAAGGCGCGATGTTATATATGTAATTAATATGGTGTTGTCTACCCACCCAAGAACCAGGTGATCTTGGCAGCTGGTCTTCCATTAGGTACCACACACTGCGCCATGAACGTATCTCCTTCCTTGAAGGGCGGCTGCGGCGAGGAGTTCAGCTGGATCTCACCAGGGGCTCCTAGAAACAGGAAGAAACATAATAACTATCGTGAGACATACTAAATTAAGTAAAAACGCGGGGCACTCACGTGAATATACAGAGAAAAGCTCTACTAGTTTCGAACCACAGAGGGGTTCTTCCTCATGAGCAGCGTGCGCGGTCGCGGCGACGTCTAGATCTTTTCTCAGTATATTCACGTGAGTAACCCGCGTTTTTACTTAATGAAGAACATATTCAATATCTTCAAGAGCAGGTGGTCCACTGCTGGACGATGAGCCTCCTCTATATAAGAGTCGGTTGGCGATAATCTCCTCGTTTGAAGACGTCTCATCATCAGAGAGCGCTGATGCCCGGTCTGTGTCAAATGTAGTCCCTTAGTCGGGTACATGCTACCCGCGGGAGGAGTAGGAGTGGTGGTGATTCTTCTCTGCAATGGCAGGCCATGGCTATATGGCACGCCATGTTTCCGCAAAGAACCAAAGTGACATAACAATTTCCCAATCCCTTAAAATGATCCCTAATTTTTTTTTTATATATTTGATGGGGCGACGTTTGACCACTATCTCGCCTGGTGGTAAGCGATGATGCGGTCTACGATGGAGCACGTCGTCCCATAAGCAACCTATTCACTCGGGCCTTGAAGACACCCAGGTTATACCTCTGGAAATACAGACTCTGGCAAAGAATTCCACTCTTTAGCAGTACGCACAAGGAACTTGATGCGAAGCGCTTCGTGCGTGTGGGTGGGACATCTACCATGAATCGGTGACGCCTCGCCGATTGTCTTGTGGTACGATGATGGAAAGGAATAGGGGGAATCAAGAATTCTCCTTTATTCTCCGACAATTGTTTAACAATGCATTGTGTTTCGCCGTATGAGTAGGAATGTAGGATTACTACCGAATGCCCTTCCTCATACCCCAAAAGGCCAGCAACGCACTAAACTCCTCTAGTCATCCATGTATCCATGGGCGACGCTGATTGCTTACCATCAGGTGATACGTCTGCAAGTCCGGTTGTTAGGGGGAATTAGACCATCAATTTTTTTTTTAAGAAGTTTCCCCACATTAGGATTTTCTCCTGTGTCGTGGGTGCGTTTACAAACATACAAGTTCACATCAACAACAATTTGTAGATCACACAAAGTGTTGTTCCGTGCGGGAATCGAACCCGCGACACGTTGCACGGCAGCCGGTTGCCCAGCCACCGCACCAGCCGTGCAGACGGAACCATATTACCATAATTGTCCATGTCCCTGGGACGTTGGACTTCAGTGTTCCGGTGTTTGCATGGTTGTATCTACTGTAGATCCTGGTGCACAGGAGTTGCAGCGGTTTTGAGAGATTGTGGTCAAAGAAAAGTTGGTGAAATGAAATGAAATGAAAAGAGTTTTATTCGGCATACGGCATGAGTGAGTGCAAGGAACAAAAAGTAGCAATACAATATAATTTAATAAAATAAAAATAACAATATAAGAGTGTAACACAAGAGAGTGAGAATAAAAGATAAAAGCTAAATTATAAAACTAGATGATAATAACAATAGGTATAAAATAGGTTCTGCACGATATTGGCAGACATGCCCAAGCCTAAAGGGTCGCCAACTCAGCATAAAGCTGGGCACAGTGAGCACCCAACACTGATTCTGTTGGCACCCCTGCAGTGACGCACGGTTGGTTAAATTAGGAAGATAGTATACTCACTTGCGACAAGCAGCCTCATGGAGCCGACCAGCTCGATGTTTCCTGAGGGGGGCGGGAGAACACATGTAATGTTTCCATTCCATTCCTCCTTAATATTCTTTATTAGGGCACCGCATTGACCAGCCTGTAAGAAAAGGATTATATTAATTTCTTTATTTTATACACTTATCTTCTTAATAGACTGCCTCGTTGGGCGAGTGGTCGCAAGTGTAACTGCCGGGCAAAGGGTCGCGGGTTCGATTCCCGAGTCAAAGTCAAAGTCAAAGCTATTATTTCAATTAAGCTATAATTTGGTACTTTTGAAACGTCAATAAATACATAATAAATAATAGCCTGTCAGTCAGTCCGTCAGTGAAGCTAGGTGAAGCTAGGTCGGACGAAATATCATCATCATCATCATCAACAGCCGGAAGACGTCCACTGCTGGACAAAGGCCTCCCCCTTAGCCCTCCACGTCGAACGACAACTCGCCACCCGCATCCACTGGCTCCCCGCAACTCTGGCGATGTCGTCGGTCCACCTAGCGGGAGGTCTGCCCACGCTTCGTCTTCCGGTCCGTGGTCTCCACTCAAGGACTTTCCTGGCCCATCTGCCGTCAGTCCTTCGAGCGACGTGGCCTGCCCATTGCCACTTCAGTCTGCAGATTTTGCGAGCTATGTCGGTAACTCTTGTTCTTTGGCGAATCTCCATATTTCGGACTTTGTCGCGCAAAGAAACCCCGAGCATAGCTCTCTCCATCGCACGCTGAGCGACTTTGAGCTTCTCCAGAAGGCCAGAGGTCAGGGACCACGTCTCGGTACCATACGTCATCACCGGCAACACACACTGGTTGAACATCCTGGTCTTTAGGCACTGAGGGATTTTCGATGAGAAGATTTCGCGTAACTTCCCGAACGCTGCCCATCCAAGTTGGATTCTTCGGGCGACCTCTTTGTCGAAATTGGACCTACCTAGCTGTATAATCTGCCCTAAGTATGTGTAGTGGTCTACAACTTCGAGGATATCGTTCCCAACGATGACCGGTACAGGTGCAACATGGACGTTTGACATGATTTTGGTCTTGTCCATGTTCATTTTAAGACCCACCTGTTGGGAGACGATATCGAGGTCGCTGAGCATGGTGTTTAAATCCTCCAGCGACTCCGCCATGATGACTACATCATCGGCGAAGCGGAGGTGTGTGATGTATTCGCCATTGATATTGATGCCCAGTCCACTCCAGTTTAAAAGCTTGAAAACGTCCTCCAATGCGTTGGTGAACAGTTTCGGAGAAATCACGTCTCCCTGTCTCACGCCTTTCTGCAATTGGATTGGTTCCGTGCTATCTTCCTGGAGTCGGATGCGCATGGTGGCGTTTCTATACAAACACTTTAGCACCTCGATATCTGTAGTCGATATGGCATCGCTGGAGAGACTGCAGCACCGCCCAGGTCTCGATCGAATCAAAGGCTTTTTCATAGTCCACAAACGCCAAGCATAGTGGCAAGTTATACTCCTCAGTCTTCTGTATAACTTGCCGCAGCGTATGAATGTGGTCTATGGTGCTGAAGCCTTTCCGGAACCCGGCTTGTTCGGGAGGCTGGAAGTCATCAAACCTGCGTTCCAGACGGTTCGTGATAACCCTAGAAAACAGCTTATATACATGGCTCAGAAGCGAGATGGGTCTATAGTTCTTCAACAAAGAGTTGTCACCCTTCTTGAAGAACAGAACCACTACACTCCTTTGCCATGCTTTCGGCGTAGTTCCTTCGAGAATGACGGAATTGAATAGTTTCTGGAGGACTAAAAGTATCGGTTTTCCACCCGCTCGCAGAAGTTCTGTTGTGATTCCGTCATCACCCGGTGCCTTGTTATTTTTGAGCTGTCTGAGAGCCATCCTAATCCCATACAGGCTGATGTCTGGGATATCCTCGGTATAGTGCCGTGTCAGTTTAGCTCTAGGATCCCGAGCTGTACCGACAATGGGTTGCCGTGTCGAGTGTATAACTGTCCGTAGAACCTTTCAAGCTCTCTCAGAATCTCTGGCTTCGACGAAACGATGCTGCCATTTTCGGTCTTCAGTTTCGTCATTTGGCTTTGCCCAACAGACGAATTCCTGCGAATACTTTGCGCCCTGATTTCGATCTATGGCATCCCTGACTCGTGCGGCGTTATATGCACGCAGGTCGCGTCGCATAGACTTTGAAATTCGCCTATTAAGTTTGCCATATCCAGACATGTCAACTGAAGACTGCAGCCTCATCTCGTGTCGGTCTTTCAATAATTTAAGTGTTTCTTTCGAGAACTTTTGAGGTCTATTTCGGCGTGGGTTTTTGAAAAACTCTGAGCCCACCGCTTGGACAGTTTCCACTAACCCATTATTTAGCTCGTCAATCGTTTCACACTCAGCCAGGCACTGGAAGCGATTATGCAGTTGGAGCTGGAACTGTTCGGGGTTCTGGACCTGGGCGCGACCAGGACGGAGTGTGGACCTCACCAGGCGTGACCTCTCCAGCTTGACATTGATATTCAGTGGACGAAATATAGGTGGGTTTAAAAAAAATCTCAGTAGTAGCCCGGACGGTATATAGCAATAGGCTCACCCCCTATTACATGGGACTCATAACATAAATAGTGGAAAGTGTATGCAATAAGTGCCGTATAATATGCACCTCTGCCTACCCTTTCGGGGATAAAAAGGCGTGATGTTATGTTATGTTTAGAAAAATATATTTTGTTCAAACATCCAATTATATTCAGAATGTCACCTACTTAACAAATTACCTAATTTTATTTATCAAATAGCTTTTGCCCGCGACTACGTCCGCGTAGAAAAGGAATTTTGAAACATAACTTATATTGTTCAACCAAAATAAAAGTAGTCTATGTTACTCCATAGTACATCAGCTACCTGCCAATAAAAGTCTTGCAAAATCGGTGCAGACATTCCAGAGATTAGTCAGTACAAACAGACAGACAGACAAAAATTGTATAAAATGTTATTTTCGTATGTGTATCGTATCTATATTCATATGCATGTAGTAAAAAGCGGTTATTTTAATATATATAAACAGACAACAGACACTCTAATTTTATGTATCTGTATGGACAAAAGTAGTTGACTTTGAAAAACCCGCATTTGGTACCGAATTAGAGTAATTATCAAAAACGTTAATTTACAATTTAATTACTTGACATACATACATAAGGTAAAAACAAAAGATAACTATTTCAGAACAAGTATGAACTTGTACTGAATATCAGCGATAACAAATGAAATTGTCATATGTATTTTGATTTTGAAAATACATACATAGTTATCTGTCTAATAATATTGTCTAATGTAATTTTTTCACCGGTGTGTTTAACCTGACCTTGAACCCAAGTATAATTTGGTATTTTGAAACTACGTCAATAAATACAAAATAAAATACCTATAGGATTATTTAAAAAGATTATTACATTTCATTTCTAATTTTAAATTGATCTTACTTTAAAAATTTCTTCAAACAAATTTTTATTACTTTTTTTGACTTGTATTATATCGTTATGTCGTGATTTGGATTTTTGATATTGTATTTTCTTGACATTTCTGTAATTTAATTTAATTTTCATTCTCCAACATCAACGAAAAGAGGCTAGTTCAGACAGTGGTCTTCCCTATCTTCCTCTACGGTACATAGTCGTGTGAAACAAGTGAAACAAGTGAAACAAGTGAATTTATTTCTGCAAATAGGCTACAAGGCAGCACTTTTACACGTCAATTTTATCAAGCGAACGATGAGGCCGACATTTCCTAACTGACTACTCTGAGAAGAAATGCCGAAACAAACTCAGTGGACTGTTAGAGCCCTAGATCGCAAAAAGATAGATGCTCTCGAAATGTGGTATTAGCGAAGAATATTCCGGGTACCATGGACAGCCAGACAAACAAATAAGTCAATCCTGGAAGAGGAATTTCATTCAATTGCTGTATGTTTGTATTCGCATAATGTGATTCCCTTTAATTGAAGGATCACACGGTTAGTGTAATGTCAGGTGGATTAGTTTTTAAATGTAAGTGTTTCTTTTGTTGGTATTCCAAATAAATAAATAAATACATAATAGTCTGTCAGTCAGTCCGTCAGTGAAGCTAGGTGAAGCTAGGTGCTCATTCCAAAATGTAGATTCGAATGGAGCAGAACGAGCAAGAAACTTCATAAACTCTATAAACTATGGACCTCCTCTGATGATAAGAGGTTTTGTCATAATCGCCACACATGGTTCGGGTTTGCGATCGCAGTTTAAAAGGTTCAGGTTTATAAGAGAACGCTGCAACTTTGTGTTGGTCAAATTTATAGTCCCTTATTCGGGTATACCACACCCGCGGGAAGAGTTGGGGTGGAGAACAATGCATTATCTCTATCGTCATCAGACGCATAACAGGAACTAAGTAACAGTTTTCCCTGATAAGAAATACTTTTAAAATGCAATCTCCAATCCGATTCACAAGTGTGGTGATTATGACAAACCCCTCTTATGTAGAGGAGGCTCAAGGTTCAGCAATGGACTGTCATGTCACAGGCTATTGTTGATTATAATGAAGATGATGCTTTTTTTTTTAAGGGGCGAAAATCATCGAATGACTGCTCCCGCCTGGGTGAGGCGGGAGGGAGTGTCAGACTCTTACTGACTAAAAACCACCCCGTTCCTTCTCCTGCACGTCGAGCCGGAGCCATGATGATGATGCTTACCTTCAAGCCCTGGCCGGTGTAGACCACATCTCCTTGCAGGTTTTCAGGTATCAGCCGGTAGGACGTGGTACCCACTGTCATCCTGAAATACAAAGAAAATAATTCATTAATTAATATGGTCGATATTGTTACATTAACTAAAATGGCAAAATAAACAGTTACTCCTTATATTACGGGGATACTCGATTAGTTTCAAGCCCCATTAGGAGCCTTTACGCACACATAATCGGGTACTTGCCTTAATCAAAAACAAATAATTTCGACTGTTCAATACAATAAAATATTAAAAAATAATCACACTTTCGTTAATTGATTTTATGACCAACTTGATTTTAGTTATTTTCTAGCAAATGTTTAAGCAATAAGTATACTGTTTGACGCTAAAAAAACGTGACGTCACAATACACAATCTCGTACAAAGTTCATAGAAAACTGTCGTTTTTTGACAGTTCGAAACAAGTATTGAATTTTACTAGTTGGCAAGTACCTAATTCTAACTTAGTTCATGAATCAGTTTTTTCTCAAAAAACACTTATTTCACCAGGATTTTCTGTCTGTCTGTATCGGGGAGTGCGTTCACAAAGACGGTTTTAAGTGTGGGAGAGTCATGTTTCGGAACGAATGTGCCGGCTCGACCGGAGTGATACCACCAACGAGCAGAAGACCGACGTAAACAACGCTTGCGTTGTGTTTCATCGTGTGAGTGAGGTTACCGGAGGCCTAATTACCCCCCACCCTTCTCCAATCCCTGAATCCCCAACAATCCTCAATTTCCTAATCCCAAAAGACCGGTAACGCACTTGTGCTCCAGGTGTTTATGGGCGATTGCTTACCATCAAGTGATACGTCTGCTCATCTCATAAAAAAGACATTTCCGTACGGGAATAGAATCCGCGACATGTTGCACAGCAGTCCGACATCCATCCACTACGGATTCGTACTTGATAGTAAGAACAACAAACTATCAGGTATGAACACCTTCCCAGAATTAAAGAACATAGCACCTTAAGGACTTATTAATAAGAACCATTCTGCTACTGACCTGCAGGAGTCGATGGGGTATGGCACTTTGCATAGCACACTGAGCTGGTCTCCGATCCTTCGTACTGCCTCTCGAGGGGTGATGTCCACATCCTGGCCTGGAAAGATGAGAGGAATTCTATTAGACATATTATACTTCTTATACTATACCTCTATTAACTAAAATCACGGGTACGTCAGTGAGCTGCGCGACGTCGCCGCGACCGCGCACGCTGCCCATGAGGAAGAACCACTCTGTGGTTCGAAACTAGTAGAGCTTTTCTCAATAGACTCACGTAAGTAACCCGCGATTTTAGTTAATTTAGTATATCTCACGATAGTTATTATAAAAACAGCATTTTTACCCTTTTAAAACAATACCTACGAAGTATAATTTTATTAAATACTAGCTTCTGCCAGCGGCTTCGCCCGCGATCCCAGGGGTAAAATGCCTATGTATCACTTCAGACCATAATCTACCTCTGTTCCGAATTTCATTCCGGTCCCTTCAGTCGTTTTAATATGACTGAGTAACAAACATACACACAAACACATAAACTCACATATTTTCATTTATAATATCGAGTCAAGTTAATTTCAACCTTTCAGTTACAGCGTAAAGTCTATGAATGAGTATTGTGAACGTTAGAGTTGACAAATACAATCAGAAATCACCGAATTGCTAAGCTATCGGGAGTTTGACGTGTTATTGTGAGTCAACCATAAAAGATAGACATATGCTGTCGAGGAATATTTTTTATATAATTTTAAGGAGAATATTTCCGTCATACATGATTTCTATGCAGCTTTAACCTATAAGCCTGCACACGCGACGGAAGTTTAAAAAATGGAGTAACTTCTCCCGTCTTCCCAATATTTCCCTTCACTGCTCTGCTCCTATTGATCGTAGCGTAATGAAAAGTATACTATAACCTGCCCAAGAGTATGAAGAATAATTGTGCCAAATTTCGTTTAAATCCATCGAGTAGTTTTTGTTTCCATAACGAACATACAGACAGACAGACAGACAAAAATTTTACTGATTGCATTTTTGGCATCAGTAGCGATCCCTAACCACCCCTTGATAGTTATTTTTTAAATATATTTTATGTACAGAATTTACCTCTCTACAGATTTATTATAAGTATAGATAATATTTGATCCGCAAAAACTTGAAACACATCAAAAATATCGAAGTTTCGCATATAACAGTTTATGCATATATCCCATTAAATCCGGCCGAAAGCGGATACAGTCGGATTGAAGCGGATCGCGCCGGAATAAACCGGTAATAATAATAATACAAATGGCGTAGCAGTGTAGTTTTTATGTATGTTGCGAATTTATTTTATTTCTTTAACTGTTACTATTGGTTTGGTGATGGCTTTGAGGCTTTTTATTCATACATCATACTTGATCAGTTGATTACTTTTATTTTAAAGGTGGAAACTCATCAAATGACTGCTCCCGCCTGGGTGAGGCGGGAGGGAGTGTCAGACTCTTACTGACTAAAAACCACCCCGTTCCTTCTCCTGCACGTCGAGCCGGAGCCCCGGTAACCCGTTAGGTTCCGACAACTATGATTATATAATAGAAACATTTAATTCCTTACTTTTACAAAAATACAACTTGTAAGTATATACCATCACCTGTCGGCAGTTTTCGGGAACGTCCCGTACTTATACGTTATAATATAATAACATATAATCTTTACTAATATTATAAATCTGAAAGTGAGTTTGTTTGTTTGTTCCACCTTCACGCCGTAACTACTCAACAGATTGCTTTGAATTTTTGCAGACGTAAAGTTAGAAGTCCGGATTAAATAATAGGGTACTTTTTAACCCGGAAAAAATTGATATGCCCGAGGAAAAACAAAAGTATTGGTATAGATGGCGCTGTGTGTATTGGTATATGTCACATAGGCTACTTTTTATTCTTTTGTGACGCGAGCGAAGCCGCGTGTAAAAGCTAGTATAATATAATAACATTAACACCTAAGCTCTCTGCCTACCCCTCTAACACAAGTATATTGGAAACTCTAGTCAGACGAAGTTAACACAGTCTAAGTTTGTTCATTCTCTCTACACTGTAGATATATTGTAGTAGTAGTAGATATACAAGGCATTCTATGCGACTCTGCTTGTATTTATAGTAAACTAACTAATGCTGTGCAGTTTCGCCCTCTGCTCAGCTCCTACTAATCGTAGCGTGATGTCTCAGATTAGACTGTAAGTGTGGGAGAGCCATGCTTCGACATGAATGGGACGGCTCGACCGGATTGATACCACGGCCGAGCAGAAGACCGACGTGAAACAACGCTTGCGTTGTGTTTCGTCGCGTGAGTGAGGTTACCGGAGGCCCAATTACCCTCTCCCCCCATTTGGTCAGCAGTACACACTTATAGACTGATGATGCTACTACCTTGGACTGCATATATAAACATACTAGCGACCCGCCCAGGCTTCACACGGGTGCAATATGCATGTATTACACATATAAACCTTCCTTAAACTGTCAAACACCGCGAGGACACCGGTGACCGCAACCTATTGTTCTTTAATTGTGTCTATAATGACGGTACTCAAAGGGTTAAGAACCATTATATCTATTAAAAAAAACCGCATCAAAATCCATTGCGTAGTTTTAAAGATGTAAGCATACATAGGGACAGACAGATGGCGGATAGCGACTTTGTTTTATACTATGTAGTGATCCAGTTTGGGCTCATTAGATACGCCTAATTCTCCTGATAATAAGGTTGAAGAATGTGATTAAAGGCGTGTTTTAATTTTAGGTTTTTATTTAAACTGTCAAACACCGCGAGGACACCGGTGACCGAAGCCTATTGTTCTTTAATTGTCGCGGAGAACCTAACGGGTAACCGGGGCTCCGGCTCGACGTGCAGGAGAAGGAACGGGGTGGTTTTTAGTCAGTAAGAGTCTGACACTCCCTTCCGCCTCACCCAGGTGGGAGCAGTCATTCGATGATTTTCCCCCCTTAAAAAAAAAAATTGTTCTTTAATTGTGTCTATAATGACGGTACTCAAAGGGTTAATACATGAACTTAATACAAGTGAAGCCGCATGCAGCAAATAGTTGATCGTCCTATTATATAACAGTTAGGAAGTATAACGAAGTTAGGCTCAGCCGGAGTTTGGAACAAGGTGCAATATTGAAATGTTTCATTGAATTTCTAAGTTATTTTGGTGCAGTGGTTGTGTACTGTTTTACGTTCGATTACCGGGTTGGGTAATTGAAAATAAACAATAAATTTTTAGTGATTGGCTTTAGTTTTCTTTGCGTTTGAATTGTATGTTTTGTTATCACTATATAGTATAAAACAAAGTCGCTATCCGCCGTTTGTCTGTACCTATGTGTGCTTAGATCTTTAAAACTACGCAACGGATTGTGTAGCGGTTTATTTTAATAGATAGAGTGATTCTTAAAGAAGGTTTATATGTATAACACACGCATATTGCACCCGTGCGAAGCCGGGGCGGGTCGCTAGTGAAAAAGAAAAAAATACGAATAACAATCCATTGCTGGCCTATATGAACCTCAATTTCTGTCACTATCTCCTCGCTTGACAGACTTGTCGAAGATCATAATTTCTAACGTTCAGGTTTATCAAAAACCACTACTACACAGCCTCACAATCCCCTAACCGGGTATACGACACCCGCGGGAAGAGTAGCGGTGGTTGACAAATACATTCTACTCTGCATACATTTACATTTTAGATATATTGAAATAAGAAATGTATGTATGTCAGTATATTATTGAAATGTACCTACAATATACCCGGAGTCGCTTCTAACAATAAAATTCCCAGTTTTATTACAAAAATGTTTAATATCGCCATGTAGGGAAGTGGTTCTCAACATTGTGAGTTTTGGTCGATTAAAATAATATGTATATGTCTTTTTTATGGTATAAGCCGGTAAACGAGCAGACGGATCACCTGATGGTAAGCAATCGCCGTCGCCCATTGACACCTGGAACACCAGAGACGTTACAAGTGTGTCATCAGCCTTTTGGGAAGTAGGAGTTTGTGGATTGGGGGTTCGGGGATTGGGGAGATTGGGGAAGGGGGTAATTGGGCCTCCGGTAACCTCACTCACACTACGAAACACAACGCAAGCGTTGCTTCACGTCGGTTTTCTGCTCGGCCGTGGTATCACTCCGGTCGGGCCGGCCCATTCGTGCCGAAGCATGGCTCTCCCACACTTAAAATTTTAATGTATGTATGGTGTGGATTATTGTTGTTATTTTCTTTTCCATAATTCTCAAATTGGATTCTATTTTAAGCCATTGTTAAGCCTATGAATTGCCAAAGCTATGTACACCATTATTGTCGCATGCATCAGACCTTTATTTTGTTACTATTGTGTATTTTGAATGTTATATGTTTGTGATGTGGCCGTACCCCTTCGAATAAATAAATAAATAAACAAAATTCATATAAAACAAAACACATTTTCTTCAAATAGACAAAACAATACAAAAATAGTACGGTAGCACTAGCAGGTCACCCCTTGCCTCGAGTAGGGGTTGGGTTGAAACAAATATAAATACCTGGGCAACGTGTAATAATGTTACATTCCCGGAACCCGGGACTGTCGCGGCCCCGGGATGTTGTCGCGGGACTAGTGGTGCTCAAAGTTTTTAACCGACTTCAAAAAAAAGATTGTTAGTTGGACCTGTATATGTATGGATGTACATATGTGCGGTATTATCTCGTGACTGGCTGAATCGCCTTTGATGCGGTGTTTAGTGTATTAAACTGTCAAACACCGCGAGGACACCGGTAACCGCAACCTATTGTTCTTTAATTGTGTCTATAATGACGGTACTCAAAGGGTTAATTAATCGACTTTAAAATAGAGTTGAAGTCGGTTTCTTTAAACGTAGTTTATAATTGTTATTGTAAAATATGATATAGTTGCGCATAGCATTCAAGGTAAGCGCAGTGGTTGGTGTGCAATTTGTACGGGATTTGATTTCTGTACGAAACCATGTTATATGGAACAGCAAAATTCTGATGTACGTGTGACGTGTATTAATAAAAAAAAATATTTCTTTGTTATTCCTTTACGTCAAAACGGCAGGGATAGGCATGAAATTTGAAACAGGGGTAGATTATGGTCTGGAATATCATAAGTTTTGGACTGCACAGTTGGCGTAGTGCCTGGCAACATGTAGCGGATTCGATTTCAACACGGAGCAACTCTTTGTACATACATACATAACTTCACACCTGTCTCCCATGGGGGTAGGCAGAGACTAAGGAACGCCAATTACTACGAATCTTACAACTCTTTGTGTGATTCACAAATTGTTGTTTCGGGCCTGGTTGTCGTGTATGTGAACTTGTATGTTTGTAAACGTACACATGAAGTATAAAAAAGGCTACTTCTATACTACGTGAACGAACGAAGCCGGGGCAGAAGATAGAATTTTATAAACTAAATCATGTGTGGACACCTCATCTCCCCTAACATTGTCACGGAAGGCAGTGTATCACAAGTAGACAGAATATTATAAAATACTGAATGCAAGCAGCGCTCGAAGCGATCCACATGATATTGTTTGCACGGCGCTGAATGGTAAACGTTTTTATGGGATTTTTATCTCTGATATTGAATCTGATAGTTTGAACTCTGGACTATTCAATTCTGTATACTTTTTCAATGTAAGTTTATAAACTTGTTAAGTGAAAATACTAACAATGTTTAGTTATTACAATGGATATTAACTCCATAACATTTTTTTTTAATTTCTACTAATACATAATATCACGCCTTTTATCCCCGAAGGGGTAGGCAGAGGTGTAGAACAGTGACTGCCTCGTTGGCAGAGTGGTCGCAATTGCGACTGCCGGGCAAGGGGTCTCGGGTTTGATTCCCGGGTTGAGCAAAGTATTACAGGGCTTTTTCAAAAAATTACACACCCACCTTCCACTATTTATGTTATGACTCCTATGTCATAGGGGGTGAGCGGAGCCTTTTGTCATATACCGGGCACAGTTCCAGACTCCGTGCTACTACTGAGATTTTTTTAAACACTTAGTAAAACTTTAGCCCGATCTGGGAATCGAACTCGAGACCCCTTGCCAGGCAGTCGCACTAGCGACCACTCGACCAACGAGGCAGGCAAAAAGAATAACGACAAATATTATTGAACTACAATAAACAGTTACTTTTTCAAAGATCCTAGCAACAGATTTTTTTCTAAAAAACCTCAGTTATTATACGACAAGACATTGTCCAGTTTGATCCTTGCCCGACCCATGTTTGTTGATCCTACATGAGGAGTATATTAAAAAGTACTCGGAGCTCGTCCCGACACGACATGAGCAAGTTTTCTGAACGCTGGCACGATGTAGCCCGCGGCGGTTCGGATATTGTAGACTAGACAGCGATGCTCAAAGTTTGCAATGTAGACGTCTGCTGGGAGAGTAACGGTACAATAAAAATTGGACTGCCTCGTTGGCCGAGTGGTCGCAAGTGCGACAGCCGGGCAAGAAGTCTCGGGTTCGATTCCCGGGTCGGGTAAAGTATTACTGGGATTTAAAAAAAAATCTCAGTAGTAGCACGGAGTCTGGAATTGTGCCCGGGATATGGCAATAGGCTCACCCCCTATTACATGGGACTCATAACATAATAGTGAAAAGAGGGTGTTACATTGTACAGTGGCATAATGTGCACCTCTGCCTACCCCTTCGGGGATAAAAAGGCGTGATGTTATGTTATGTGGAACTGACATGTTCCACTACTTCACTAATGAGGATGTTTGTTGTATTTTGACGATAATTGTTCAATATAAAGAGACTAGGCCCGGAGGTTTAAAGACGCCCGCTTCTCATACATGAGGATTCGAAACCTACCAACGGCAAGTACCAATGTGACTTTTTCCGAGTTATATGTAGTTTTTAAGATGATCTAGACACCACTGACAAACGGTGAAGGAAAACATCATGAGGAAACCTGGGATTATAATTTCTAATTATAAGTTTGAAAACGCCAACTCGCATTGAGGAAGCGTGGCGATTAATGCTCAAATATTCTGTGTGAGAAGAGGCATTTGGTCAGCAGTGACCACTTCAAGGCTGTTGATGTTGTACAATGGATTGAGACAGTATTTGGTATGCAGTCAGAGGAGTGCATACCAAATACTGTTTGCTCTCAAAGTGTAGCCAAGATTCACACAATATGTGTAATGCCCACTTGAAGAGAAAGAAGAAAAAGAAAGAAAAAGTTTATTTGCACCATAACAGAAAAGACAAGAAAAAAAAATAGTAAAAAAAAACAACAGTGTACACGGTGCAAAAAGGGCAGTGCTCAGCTAAAATTTTTCCAATAAAATATACTCAAAATGGAT